AAAACATAGTCTCCCCTTTAAAATGATCCCGCCTACAAGCTAGCAGTAGCAATCAATAAACTGTTCACATAATCAAGATCCTAGTTCATTGGATAGTCTATGCAGCGGGCTTCTGTTTCTTCGGCGCCCGATAGATACCAACAACACAAGCATGATCTCGCTCAAATGGTTCAAGAGTTACTTGCTCAGTGGGTTTGAATTGATCTGCCTTTAGCTTATTCACCTCACTTGCAAACACTGCCTCTGCTGGAACGGTCGAGTCGATGCAGTTGGCCTGAAAAAGGTTCAATACCATATTATCTTATATTCATGGATTATACTGTCTATTGTCTTTAACAAAATGCAAATCTTGAACTCACTTTGATTGATATAACAAAATGGCCACCCGCCTTGAGAAAATATGATGCATTAAGTGCCAAAATTCTAGCCTGCATTGAACAAGTCAAAAGTGGTCAACTTTAGAAGATGAAAGACCGAGAAGTTCATGATTTCAAAAAATAAGCCAAGCCAGAATGCAAAATTGGTAGCAAATGAAGGGTTTTATCAAAATGTGATATTCTTGACGCATCASAAACTCGGGTTATGCATCATTCAAGAAGTCTTGAAGGGGAATCCGAGTAATTCATCACATGCTTAGCAAATAGGAAGAGCCTAAAATGAAAAACGTGAGAATTTACCTGCACGACATCAAATCAAATTAATAAGTGATAAAATTATCTTAATTGAAATTGGTGAGAGACCTTCAGATTATTAAATTTCTGACACAATCTCATTATCCCGCACATAACCCAGAACTAAATAAGATAGCCGATGCTTTCTTTTATAATTTCATCTTCTTGCTTGAAGTTGAGCTCTATAATCGACTACAGAAAAATTCTAAACCTCCAAAATTTAACTTTCTGTATTATAAGATCCAGATTCCAGAACAGATCATTGGTCACAATGAATAAAGCATATGCTGAATTTCAAATTAAGGGTTCTTTTAATAGGAGAACAATTAGAGAGATTTTTACACAAAGACCCCACATATTGAATGATCCAGAAATGGTTGGCAATTAGAATAATCATCCAACTCAAAAAAAATACAGCTAAACAGAAAAAGACTTCTAATTTCCAGTGCTAATAAAAGATGAAAATCTTCTACTATACACAAAAAGAGGTGTGATGGAAAATGTGGGCAGTGTAAATATGGAATGTAAAGGTGATAGTGGAATTATTTCACGTATTGGAATAAAAAATATAGAATCAGTTGATTAGTACTAATGCTTTGAGAGAACAAGATGGTTTGATCCAAAGTTCTAAAAAAAGCAATTGTTTACATAGAGTATTTCATGAATATAAAAAATGAAGAAATGCAACTTAT